AACTAAGACTGTGTTGAGTTCCTCAAATGTTAGCGTTGTCGTTCCCAGGACTCTCTTGAGGTGATGCTTCGTTGATTTTACTGCTGCTTCCCATTTGCCACCAAAATGGGGTGCTCTAGGTGGTGAGAAGCTCCACTGAGTGCCATTGGTGGCGAGAGCAGCCTGAACACGTTGATTTTCTTTAGATGCTTGGTGATAGAGCCTTTCGAGTTGATCTGCTGCTCCGACGAAGGTGGTGGCGTTGTCACTGTACATGACTGCTGGAATACCTCGTCTTCCGGTGAATCTCTTGTAAGCTCCGAGGAAGGCTTCTGTGGTTTGCCTGTTGACGAGCTCTAGGTGAACTGCTGACGTGGTGAAGCACACGAACACTGCGATGTGCACTGATCCCGGTTGAGCATTCGTGGGTCTCCACTTGAGGATGGCAAAAGGACCTGCATAGTCCACCCCCGTGTGGAGAAATGCTCTTGCTGGTGAGACTCTGGTTGCGGGCAATTGTCCCATCTGTTGCTGAGCCTGTCTAGCTCGGTGTCTGGCGCAGATAGCACAGCGTAGGATATAGGCTCTGACTGTGCACCTACCACCGAGTATCCAATAGCGTTGCCGAGTGTAGGCCAAGGTGAGCTGTATCCCTCCGTGGAGGGTCTTCTGGTGAGCTTCTGCGATGACGAGTGTGGTGAATCTGGACTGACGTGGCAAGATTATTGGGTGGATCTGTTCTGGATGGAGTTCTGAGTTCTTGAGGCGTCCCCCAAGTCTCATGATGCCCTCTTCGTCCAGAGTTGGGGTGAGTTTCGCTAACTAGTGATTTCTAGGTAGCTGCTGATTTCTGAGAAGTATCCTGAGTTCTGAAACAAAGTACTGGTGTTGTATTATTTTTACCCAAAATAATCTCGCATCGTTGAGTTCTCTGGTCGTCAAGATAGATCCCGGGGGCATTGGCTGCCTCCTGAATCTGTCGATGGCCCTGTTGATGGTCGCTGTTACTGCTAACAGCTTTGCCATCGTGCTGTATCTATTGAGGAGCTCGGCAATCTCGTTGATTCTCTGTACGACTGGGTGAGATTTTGCTGGTTTCGCTTCTTTGGCCACTTCTGGGATGTCCATTGGTGGAGCATCGATNCGGTTTCGCTTCTTTGGCCACTTCTGGGATGGCCATTGGTGGAGCATCGATAGTTGATCGTGGCCAGTCTTCAGGGTCCTG